AACTCAGAGAGAAGGGATTTACAAAATGCAGTGCCAACTTCCTTTTTAAAAATATTTTTTCATCCTCTGAAACTTTTTTTGTTTTTGTCAAAGGGAAAAATTATAGCAAATTCACATTCTCCAGTTGGCTTTTATTTGCAGTTTGTGAATTGGGGCAGCACCTCCTCTGGACATTTATCTTCTTTCTTTTATAACGGTACATGTTTGAGAGACACACGGACTACCTGGATCCTGAGGAGCTGGTCCAGGTGCGGATCATATTGTAATGCTTTATCCCCGGGCCCTTTGTGTCCTGCATCCCTTCATCCACTTTTCGTCCTGTGACACAGGGCAGAGCGTGACAGACGTGAGTGCCCAGGACGTATGATGTTCATTTTCTCATATGTCCACGTCTGCTGCTAATGCACTGATTTCTGATTCTTTACCCCCTGCCTTGTTCTGCTCCATGGAACCTTTTATAAAAATAGTATCCTAATTATATATGTGCTTCAGTTATTCCCACGTAGTTATCTACCCTGATACTCAGAACCCTGCACTGTCTTCTGAAGTTTGCTTTAGCTTTGACCCATCAATTCTTCCACAGCATTGCCATTTTCTTAAGAAACGTTGGCTTTGAACCCACTAACCTCCCCCGTTTCTTGTTCTGTTTCCTCTCAGTGCTCAGCCTGTCCAGGTACACTTCACATCGCATGTGACTTTCCTAATCTTAGACATTTTGCTTACCCTGCCCAGGGTCTCATAGTGTCCCAGCTGCAGATTGCACTGTCCCCCGGCAGGGGCCCTGGGAATCCCGTAAAGACCTTTAGCTGTCAGGTGTAGGGCTGGGATCCAGAAGTGCTGAAATCCTGCAGTGTGAGCAGATACACTGCACAGCACAGATGGGTGTAGCCTGAGATGCCAGGAGAATCCTATAAAACAGTGGAAGTCTTCCGAATATGTTCCTCATTTAAACTGAGTCTTTATGTTTACTAACTTAAGGGAATCCCTACGATTCTCTGCAGAACAATTTGAAACAGACGTTTATTTCTTAAGACTTAAAAGTCTCTCATTCCTAGTTAGCAAGTAGAAAAGTGAACTTATTAAACACAGTTCAAATAGCATCTTGGTATTAATACATAAGTTTATCAGGGGAAAGGGTGACTCATTTACCCTGTTGTGATCAAAGAAAGATTACACCCCTACCTGGATGAGCTTCTGGCTGTTTGTTAACTCCTGTTAATTTGTATGACCTTAGAAGTTAATAAACATTTAAAAACTTAGTCAAGGCTCACAGAGAACTCAGAGAATAAACCATTCAAGATACTGAAATTGCAAAATTGTGTACTGTGTATTATATACCATCCACCCTCCAGAAATGTATTTGGTAGATGCACATCCATTAACCAGACTACCTTGATTACTTTTCTCTCATTGTTGAGACAAAATATCTGACACCCAAAATGAAGGCAGGAAATGTTTATTTAGCTCACAGTTTGTGGAGGTTTCAGTCCATACTCAGCTGGCTCCAAGGCAGGGTGGTGCCCGGGCAACACTTCAAGGCAGCAGCCATAGTAAAATGAAGGGGAACAAACCTCTTCTCCCTTATATTGTATGCAGGCCACATACTCCCGACCCACTAGAGCAGAGGTAGCCCTGACAAAATCTCTGTGCCCTCCTTTGCACAGGCTGAGGATGTTTACAAAGTAAGGACCCTGGCTCCCTGCTGAGTCTCTCAGTTAGACTTCTAAACTTCTCAAGTTGACACAATGTACCATCATAATGCCAGACTCACTCTAACAGTAAACAGGTGGCGCTTTGCCCACACTGTGTGCTTTGAGGGAGAAAGGTGCCCCTCTGATCGTTTTTCTGGGACAGCAGAGATCAGTCTGTGCTCACGCGATGTCAAATGTTTTACTTACATCACTTCCGGTTAGCAGTGCTAACAGATTCTCCACCTCTCTGGTCACCAGCTGGATGGCCTGTATTTTGGTCCAGTTGACACTGGCTACCAAGGTCAGCCTCAGACACCATGGGTTTAGGGCTTAGTCCCCGTACACTGCCCCTGCTGCAGGTGACGGTCCTAAGGCTTGGGTCCCCAGATCTCTCCTCCTTCTCTTCCCAGACTCCACTGAACCCTGATAGCCTCCAGAGATCCCAGTTTCAGATAATACAGTCCATCTTCGGACAGGGATTCAGTTTTAATGTGAGCATTGATGCAAGCGCTCAGACCGAGTGGCCAAGGTGGTCACACTTCTGCCTGCCGCAGCTGTGAAGTCAGAGGTTTTACACCTGTCACCTCTGAGCTTCCAGGGTTCACAGGTTTGCACGAGTTGCTCATGGGATTCAGGAGTCCTGTGTTTCCTGTCACAGGTCTATTTAAAAGGATAAAAATGCATGGCCAGATGAACAGGTACCTGGGGCTCCAGGTCCGTGAGGGCCCCTGGACAGCGCCTTCTGTCCCCCTGGAGTGGGGGTGGGGTGCCCTCCTGGGTCATGGGTGTTTCACCAGGAGAAAGCTGTGTGTCTTGCAGGAGTCTGTACAGAGATGTAATGACAGAGGCAGGACTGGCCATGGTATGGGTCATCAGTGACTCTCTCCTGCCTGCTCAGGTTTGAGGACCAGTGAGAAAAGAGATGCAGAAAAGCAAGTGCTGGGGTTACTTGGAGGCTGAAAAACTATCAGATTACCTGAAGGCACAAGAGTGGATGACCACAGGTGGACAGCCAGGAGTCAGAGGACAAACAGGGGCTCAGGACAGAGCCACAGTGTCACACATGAGAGGAACGGAATAGTTCAGAGGACCAGAGTCCCAGCAAGGAAAACAGACTTGTGGGAGTACCAGGAATGCATGTGTGTGCACGTGTGAGCTGTGCATTCATGTGTGCATGCACAAGTGTGCAAGTGTATGTTTAAAGGGAAGTTTCCTTTTAAAAGGGTGTCTAGCTGGCGCAGTGTGGTGTGTGCATGCCCATGAGCCCAGCACTCTAGCAGGCCGAGGCATTAAAGTCCCAGGTTCAAGCCCAGCTTGGGCAACTCAGCATTTAGTGAGACCCTATCTCAAAATTTTAAAAACTCCAGGAGAATGTAGGCTAATCTAGATGAGAACCATGCACTTGCCTCCAGAGGGGGCAGATCTGGTGAAGGACTCAGATATTGTAGGCGTTCCACCCCCTCCTGTCAGGATCCATGCTGTGTGACACAGAAGATTCCTCCGCCAACTCCCCTCTGTCCTCATGTCACTGAGGGGAACAGATTGATGGGTGACACCTTGTGTCACAGTGACTGGGCTACCGCCCGATCTGCCCAAATCGGTGGAGCCCAGTGCTGGAACCCACTGAGCTGATTTGACCTCTGAACCCTCTTGTGTCCAGCCACTCCTGAGCTCTGATGGTCTGTCTGGGGAGGGTGGCAGCTGGATGGCTCAGCAGCTGGGCAGTAGGGTGAGGCAGGCGGACAATTTGCCGGGCAAGCCACACACCTCCTAAGTCTATATCTCTAAGCACAGCGACAAAATCCTCTATCTTAATGTGTTGGATTTTGCCCATTTTAAATTTGTGCTAGTTTGGTTCCTTTCTTCCATTTTTCTTTCCGCATTGTGGAAAGAACTCTGTCTTCCTTCAAAGGTGAACCTGGTAATTAGTATGGTGTTCTACATTGTGGAAACACACACACAATGTGAAAGTTACGGTTTCATCCCTTTTAAGTGTTCAGTTCTGTGGCACTGGCACATTTGTATGGTTACCCATCACCTTCACCAGTCACCAGAACCTTTCCCTTGCCGCGAACTCTCAGTATTCCTTAACCAGTGACTTTAGATTCCCTTCCCCAGCCCCCGGCACATGGCAGTCTGATTTCTGTCTCTGTGGATTTGACTATTTCTGGTATTCCATAGAATACCTCTCTAGGGATAAAGTTAATTGACTGACAAATCAAACAAATGGGATGACATTCACAAAGCTTTAAATAGCCCTCTTGCTATGTGGAGAGGGAGGCTGACAGTCAAGCAGCCTCATTTCCCTTCAGCTCACCGGATACAACTCCTAAATCATGACTGGGAAGAGCTGGCTGTTCAGATTATCTGCCTTGACAAGAGTTAGAACTATGAATTCTCTAGCAGTAAAATTATGGTCACTTTGTTGTTTTTATTTCATGCTGATTTATTGCTAATTGTTTCCTTTTATCAATTCTCAAATGCTGAATGAGACAATGGAGTACATATTTAACACTGGAGCTACTTTTGAAACATGTCTAGTGTCCCCAGGGGTAGAAAAGAACTGGTGGGTTTGTGTATTTCATCAAGTAGACAATAATGTCATTTAAATGCTGTTAAAATGTAGGCAGAAGCATGTGCATCCTAGATTGAGGGAATTCACCAATCAAAAAAAAAGATAGCCAGGGATTTAGCTCAGCGAAATAAGTGCCTGCCTGGCAAGTGCACAGTCATGAGTTCGATCCCTGGGGCAAAAAAAAATTTTTTTTTGCTAAGTCAGAGAAATAGAATATCAGTAACTGGCCAAGATGGATGTGGTGATGCCTGGACCTCTATCATCTCAGCACTCAGGAAGTTGAGGCAGGAAGATTGCTGTGAATTCAAGATACACATGGGCTAGGGGCTGGGGATTTAGCTCAGTGGCATAAGCACCTGCCTTGTAAGTGCAAGGTCATGAGTTTGATCCCCAGTACAAAAAAAAAAAAAAAATATATATATATATATATATATATATATATATATATATATATTAGCAAATATATATATATATATTTTAAAAATATATATATATAAAATATATATATATATAATATATATAAAAATATATGTATTTTTTTTTTAAAGACACATGGGCTACATAGTGAGTTCCAGGTCAGTCTGAACTATACAGTGAGAGACCTTATCTCAAAAGGTGAAAAAGAGCTGGCCAATTGGATATGCAAGGGGCATGCGGGTCTTCCAGAAGAGTTTGCTACTCTGTCTCAGCGCAGTGCTTGACTGTGAACGTGTCGCACGTCTCTCCCTGCACAGGGCACATGATCACAAAGGGAGGCTGCTACCGAGACCTGAGTTTCCAAGTGAACACTTCCTTCTGCAACCCCAGGACCCGGCCGGCCACAGGACTGGTGCCCTGCAGAGTGTCCGCCTGTCCTCCCAGGTAACGAGAGCCACGTGTCTTAACAAGTGCACAGTTTGCAGAGGAATTCAGTGCAGCCTTGCAGCCCCTAGGCTGGAGAAGGGGTGCTGGCTCCCATTATCTGACCATAGTGAAAAGAGCCGTCTAAACAAGCAATGCCTGACCATGGGCTCTAAACATGAGTCTGGGAAAAACGTGGTCTGGGGTCTCTTGTGTCTGCGTGGGGACAGTTCTTCCCAGAGCACCGCCCATGAGGCCTTGCTCTGTCGAAGCCTCACTGTGCCCCTTTACCTGGAGACCTGTCACTGAGGATGGTAGACATCACTTGAAGTAACTTGCATACAACAAAATTCTAGCATCACCTAGACTGCCTGAGGTGCCAAACACTGGGAACCTCCCTGGGGCTCCCCTAGTCTCCAGGGCTCTTGGGTTGTGATGTTCCCCACCATCTGTGATCTCGGCCCCAGAGAGCTGCTGCCGGCTTCCCCAGCCTGGCCATCTGTGGGCCAGGCTGGGCTGGATGGCAGGAGCACAGCTTAGCGGTGCTCAGCCTGAACCTCAAGTGTCTACCAACAGTGCACTCCAGGCTGCTGAGGAACTGAAATCTGGCCAGCTGAGGCAGGACTAAATAAGCCACCTCTGTTTGCCAAAGGAATTTCCTGTTTTCAGGAAATAGGGGTCATACATAAACAAGACTGGACCCCAGCTAAAGTGGCCAAGCCAGATGTTGATCAAGGATAACTGCCATAGTAGGAAAGAGCTCACTAGGACAGGAGCTCAGCTTTCCCTTTGTGGGGGACTGGGTGTCCCAGAGGAACAGAAGAGCAGAACAATTGACTACAGGTCGCAGGTGTCAGGGAAGGGAAAGGAGTTCAAAGCCTAGAAGGGGTGGATCATGGACTGATCAGGCCCACAACCTCCTCAATGAGTAGACACTAAGCAGGTGAAAACTATTTACTAAACAGTTTCACTAAACAGTGAAAAAGACCAGTAGTATGGTTTTGGGGCATCCAGGAAGCTCAGAACTCTGTTTCTCTCTCTCTCTCTCTCTCTCTCTCTCTCTCTCTCTCTCTCTCTCTCTCTCTGAGAAAGGGCAAAGGGCTCTACTAGACGGCTTGTATTTATTTAGTTTTCCAACAATAGAAGGGAATACTGTGGCAAGCAAGAACTGAGCAGAACATTGGGAAGTTAGTCCAAAGCAGTAGATTTTGCTCCAAGCAGTAGATTTTGCCAGCTAAGAGGACTCTTTGGTCTGTAAGGTCAGTAGCTTTATTGCTCTGGAGTAGGGAGTGTCAGCAGCCCAAGTCCTCGGTGCCTCTGCTGCAGTGTCATCTTGACTCCAGAGCACTATGAGAGAGCTATTCCAACACAGCCTGAGGGCCCTGTGATAGATCTTAATCCTGTACAGCACAGCCTGCAGCAGGGACTGGTCCTTGGAAGGCCCCAGCCTGTCTGCTAACTTGCCTGTGGTACACAGTCTCCTCCCTTGCAGGGGACAGGGACCCTGGCACTGAACAGGCAGGAAATTCTTTGCTGGCCTTGGTCATCTCCAGCAGGTGCCCACTGGGCCCTGGGCTGTCTAGGGATCTTTCCTTGACTGTGGTTGAAGTGAGTGTAAGAAGAGGGCTCAGAGGAGCCCTGCTGAAGTTTGGAAATCACAGCATCTGTGTCATTCATTGCAGCCCCTGCAGAACTGGGCCGGCACCTGCGGGCCAGAGGACGGTAAATTCTAGCTCTGTTATACTCAGCGTCCTATATGAAGTGCCTTGAGGAGCAGCCCATCCTTGTGCAGCACATCTGGGTTGGTGCATGTGTTGCTGCATTGCCATTCACCATGAATACTGCTGCTTTGTCCCTGTGGTCTCCTCTGCCTCTGCCTTTGCGGCATAGAGAGATCCACAGCCAGCGCCACCTCTGAATTCTTCTATGTGCTGTGTTCTGTATTTAACTCACCCAGGGCAGTGTAGTGAATCAGTTAATTCTGTTGTGAGCAGAAATGTCACAGTGCACTGACTGCAAGATCAGTCCGGGCGTTGGACGGTTCCAGAAAACACCTAGAAAACCCTGGACTGCAGCAGTTCCACATTCACCTGGGAAGTGTCCAGTGACCCCTGCCCTGCCCGCCTTGCCCATGCATGCATCTGTATCCATGCTGTCCACTGCAGGAGAGACAGAGGAACAGCCTTACTGCTGCCCTGGAGTCCCAGGTTCCTGCCTCAGGGTTCTTAGGATTTGGAGCAGGTTGGGGGTGGGGCTGCATGATTTCAGCTTTACCTGGGGAACAACAAGCCCACCTCTCCTACCTGGAGCTCTCTGCCAAAGTTAGCACTGCTAGGCCTCGAGGACGGTTGCTTCTGTGCCTGTGCCTCAACCGTCCCCCACATCACATCCAGTCTAGTCACAGCAACCCCTGTCCTTTAGGGTAAGGCGAGGATTTGTTGAGATAACCTTCCTGAAGACTTTGCGATGAGAACAACACTAAGTTTTGGCTATTTTGTTTTCGCTGTCAAAAGAAGGGTACATCCATTGTTTTTTACTCTGTGAAGCAGAATTTTCAAAGACAAAACACAGAAAAGCAAAGCACGTTATAGGTTAACCCTTCTGGATTATCACTTTATTTTAGTTATGGGGTTGGGAAAATAGATTTTAATTCAAAGTGCTCTTTTGGTTTTCCTCTGAAATGTCAGCAACTTCTCTCCTGTCCAGGACACTGACAGTGTTTTATTTCTGACCAAATAGGCAGGAGGCCCAGGACTGTTTTTCTTCTGGTGGAGGCAGTGTCCTCCTTTCTGTCTCCTGGGCAGCCCGAGTCCTCTGAAGCTGCTGTTCCTTGGGAACTCAGTTGCTGGCCCCCCTCATGTGTGCTCTGGCTGACGCTGAGCTGCAGGGTGAGAGTTGGCTCCTCCTGTCTGACTTGAAGGCAGACCTCCCAAAGAGTGGGGAATGCAAACCTTCAAACAGCCTTTAAACTACTCTTCCTTAACTCAAGTGACAAGGGAAACCAGCATGCTGGTCAGATCCCCCAACCCAGGTCACAACTGGAGAGCTGTCTGGCCTTGAGGACCCATCCCCCCAAGTCATCAGTTTGCACACCAGAGGCTGCTGGGAGTTGGGGTCCCACCTGGGGAGAGATGATGTTAGCAGGTCAGCTGAGCATCACAGCTCATTCACGGGGCTCAGTTACAGGGTGTCAGCTGTTCAGGGCCTCTCCTCAGGGGTAGGAGGGCAATAGCCCCCCATTTCTCCTCTTAGCCCTGCTTCTGCAACAGACAAGCAGCTCACTGTCCTCCCTTGGCTCCCCCACCACTGACTTCATGCTAAGCCAGGGATTTCTATCACTTGCCTTTGAAGCAGGAGTTACAAATTGCACTGCCATCCATAACCTTCATGCCTGGGGGTTTATCGAAGTGGAGTGGCTCATGCCATTTATCCTAACGCGAGTTTTCCGAGCACTAGCACCAAGAGTAGACCTTCCCTGGTGGAGGGAAGGTTGTAAAGAAAATATTTTCCAAATGACTAATAAGACACACTCCCCCTGATCAGCATTCTGGAAGAGCAGGACAGGAGTTTCAGTAGATCCTGGGGTCCACACTTCTTTTCTTGAGAATCTGGACACATCGACCGCGTCTATCCCTGGTGTGTGGTGGATCAACCAGTTTCTGCCTGTGGTTCTGACTTTACAGACCCTCTAGCACAGTTGCTTATTTAGCAACCCAGGTAGGGAGGTTGGAATCTGTCTGCTTGGCTGTGTGTACGCTGGAGAAATGCAAGGTGAGGCCCAGCAGGGTAATCTTATCCCTGATGCTCCCCTACAGCGGCACCTACAACTGCACAACAGAGGAGGAAGTGACCCTTCCCTCCTCCTTCTCTACCACTTATCTTTTTCAAACATGAGCCACGCAAATGCTAACTACTCAGTCACTCGGGGAATGTATTGGTTACCATGGAAATAAAGGAAACTGGACCACCTGGTGGCATCTGTACAGGAGCATGCACAGCTCCCAGCGGCGCCGCCAGCAGGATCTGTGTGGATCTTTCCATCATCTCGGTAGCTGAGATTTCACAGAGGTGAATCTACTTTCTGAGGCTGGACCCGTTCTGTCTCCCAGGGCCTGCACTCCATGGCTTCCAGGGCTTGGTTTTCTTCTCTGGTGCTGCTGACCGAATTCAGAGTGACTTTTAAACAAGCGACCTACCTGCTGTTTTTCAGCCAGATCACAAATAACAAACTGGGTCCTGCCCAGAACTCTGCTTTCATGTCACTGTTAGTTCCGGGACCATCCAGGAATAGTGACAGAATGTCTCTCTGCTTTACATGTTCGTGACTCAGGAGGCTGCCGGGGAGCTGCTCTGTAGGGACAGCGGGTCACAGCCTCCCTTAGAGCTGGGGTTGGGGTACGGGTTATGGTTGGGGTTGCGGTCTGGGTTTGAGATTGGAGTTAGGGTTTGGGCTGGGACTGGCATTAGGGCTGAGGTTAGGGTTAGGACTGGGGTTGGTGTTGGGGTTAGGTGTGGGTTGGGGTTAGATTCGTTGTTGTTTGATGTTGGGGTTACGGTTGGGGTTCAGGCAAGTGGTAGATGGGTGACTCCTGCTGGCAGCTGTCTTGTGTGACATCCTTTCCCTTTGATAGGATGAGGATGGTTTGTAGGCAAGAGATGGCTTATATAGTGCCACGTGAGGATCATCTGGAGGTGCAACTCTGCCCTGGGGTCCCCATGCCCCCTGTCTCGTCAAAAGACAGGTTCCCAGGAAGAGGACTTCCAGGCTCTCTAGAGAAGCCGCTCTCAGGAGACCATTCTCAGGTGACTCATTCCCCACCTCTGCACTGTTCGGAAGACAGCCAAGCCTCAGGATGACCAGAAGCTGGGTGTGGGCTCCATATCCACACCTGTGGGCCCTCCAGTGAGGCCCAGAGTTGAGGCTGAGGCAGGAGCTTCAGACTTGAAACTGCATGGTCCCCAGCAGTGACAATTCCACCACGGGCAAGTGGCATCTTTCTGCCTCTCTCAGGAACGATGCC